GATAAGTGTTTACGTTGGCTCAAGCAAATTCAAATAGGTGAAAGCAAGAACTTTGAGGCCAGGACAAATGGATGTTTATATTTCAGAGATCGAGTTTGTATTCCCAATAATGAAGATTTAAGGTGGGATATACTTTCTGAAGCACATTTTAGTCCACTAACTATGCATCTGGGAGGAAACAAGATGTATCAAGATTTGAATGAGCGTTTTTGGTGTCCAGGCATGAAAAGAGATGTGATGGAGTTTGTGTCAAAATGTCTTACTTGTCAACAAGTGAAAGCTGAGCATTAGGTACCTTCGGGACTTTTGCAACCGATATCTATTCTTCAATGGAAGTGGTAAAGAGTTACGATAGATTTTGTAACTGGATTACCTTTGACACCTGGTAAGAAGGATTCAATTTTGCTCATTTCCTTCCGATTAGAACAAATTATTCGATGGAAAAGTATGTTATACCTCAAGGAGATAGTGTGATTGCATGGAGTGCCCGTTTCAATAGTATCCGATAGAGATCCAAGATTTACTTCCAGATTCTGGAAATCTTTACATGGAGCTTTGGGTACTCAACTAAATTTCAGTACTGCTTTTCATCCTCAAACTTATGGTCAATCTGAACGGACGATTCAAGTGTTGGAGGATATGTTAAGAGCATATGTAATTATTTTTCAAGGATCATGGGAAAAGTATTTGTCACTTGCAGAGTTTGCATATAATAATAGTTATCAAACAAGTATTAAGATGGCACCATATGAAGCGTTATATGGAAGGAGGTACATAACGCCTCTTAATTGGTATGAATTGAAGGACAGAGAGGTTCATGGTCCTAATTTGATTAAAGAAGTAGAAGAAAAGGTTCAAGTGATCCAACATAACCTTAAAGTAGCATCAGACAGGAAAAAGTCATATGCAGATTTGAAGAGAAAGGAAATTTAATTTAAAGAAGGTGATAAAGTTTTCCTCTAAGTGTCACCTTAGAAGAGGCAACATGGGAGCGTGAAGATGACATGAAATGACAATTTCCTCATCTCTTTGTTCAATAAAAATTTGAGGGTGAATTTTATTTAGGAGAGAGAATTGTAATATCCTAAACATCGAGTTAATGATTAAAAGGTAAAAAATTAAAATTTAGTAGCGTATTTGGAATAAGTGGTAAGTTCAAGGACTAATGGTTGAATATTTTGTGTTAGGAGTTAATTGCAAAGGAGGAAAAGAAGAAGGGCATGATGGTCTTTTTCAACACATGAATTTTATATTCATTTCATTTAAGATATATAAGTGCATAAGGAAGAGAAATATTGGAAAAGAAACTTAGTTTATTTCCTTCTTCTTCTTTTGGTTCGTGCTCTCTTGGGGAATAAGGTGAGTTTCTTTTAATTTGTTTATTTCTTTAAATTATGGGTTATATTGAAGCTTTATATGAAGTGGAGAAGACTAAGGAAGCTTGGAAGTGAAGGAAAACTAAGTTAATAAGAAGTTATTAGGGAATGAATGATTTGGGTTTAGAAGTGAAAATTTGTAAATGAGTTGATTAGTGAATTTTAAGGGTAGAATTGACTTGCTAAGGTCATAACTAAGAGATTTGAAGTGTTGGAAATAAATTGTAACATGTTTGATGAAATGATGTAATTTTTAGTTCAAGGATGTTATGAAGAAATTTGGAAGTTCTATGAGGATTAGTGAAGATAAATGATTAGTATAAGTATTAGTGAATTTGATGAGATAATTAGAGTTAAAAATAAAAGATGTAGGTGATTTTTGGGGTGAATTCGAAATGGAAGAATTGAAAATCTGGGCAAGGGTATCGGTACCCCAGGAACAGTGTACCGATACCTCAAGGCTTAAATAAGTGAAAATTACGAATGGGTATCGGTATTGATTGCTAGTGTATCGATACAGTAGGGGGAAGTATCGATACTCAGAGAAGGGTATCGATAACACTTTGAAGCTGAAAATTACAAAATGCAATATGGGTATCGGTACCTGTATGAGGTATTGATACCTCCCAAGGGACGTATTGATACCCTTGAGGTAGTACTGATACCACTAAGTATGAAACAAGAGATTTTGTGTTTCTTGTTGATTAAGTTTGATGATTAAGTATAAGTGATTTTATATTTATTTTGATTATTTGTGTAGACCGGGATCAAAATCAACATTCGGACAATTCGATTTTACAAGTTTTGAATATAAGAGTAAAAGATCTTAGTGAGGCAAAGGTGAGTGCAATTCAGTTGTTTTATATTGGAATTGAGGATGGCTTGCGATAAGCCAACTTCAAAGTTTTCGATCGAAAACCAATTTCAATTATTTTATGCAATATTTTATGATATTTATTCAATTATATGTCCAAGCAAGTTTTGTGATCTATTGTTTTGAACATGAACACGTGAATGAGATTTGAAATGATTAAGAGTAAATTGTCTACGAGAATGATACAAAATGCACATAAGATACACTTTAAATGAAAGAACTTAATATAATTATAAGTGGAAGCCCAAATTGTATATGTGAGAATTAGGGGTATAGTTGGCATGCAAGAGTCGAGGGTTCTACGCGGTCCTACGGGACAATTTATATAATCCTTCGCAATATTCCTACGTGGTCCTTAGGGACAATTTCTACGTGGTCCTTCGGGACAAACTCTACGTGGCACTTAGCTGCAAATTATATGAGTTGTGATGACAGCAATTGTGCACAACCTCAGTGTACTCAGATATCCTAGATTCTCAGTATTATACTTTGGGCTAAGTGAATAAAGTTGTCAGCTTAATAAATAATAAGCTAATGAAGTTTAAGAAATCTAAAGTTCATTCAATTAGGAAAACATTTTTGTTATGAAATCGAAAAGATCTTTTAAATGTTTTATGTTACTTATTACCTCACTAAGTCAACGACTTAGCGTGTGGATTGTTTTCCCACGTAGGTTCTAGAAGATCCGAAGAGTGAAGGTTAGGGGGGACAACATAAGCGTTGAAGATAAGATCAGAATCGTTTTAGATAGTAGGTTATTACATTTTGTTGTTCTGTTGGCATGTATTCCTACTTTAAATGAGAATACTCTTATCAGTTTTTTTTCTTTTAAATGTAAATATTTGGAAATATTTATGTAACTGATGTATGATACTTTGCAGTTAAATTTAAAAGTTGCATCTATTAATCTTTTATCTTTTGTAAAAATATATATTGCTCAAAAGGATATTTTATCGTCAACTATTTATTTTAAAGTCAAAGATTTGAAAGTCAATGTAACACTTTGAATTCATATTCGGGTCGAATATGGGTTAGGGTGTTACAGGTTCAATTAGATCGATCTAGGTTCGATTCACTGTTTGAACGGGAAGAATCATTTCCACACGTGCATGACGGCATGTGAGGCACCGTATGGTGGCCTTTTTTCATAGAAAATTCTATATTATTATTTTAAAATACTGGGAGTAATTTACAAATGTTATTTTCCTGAAAAGAACGTTGGAAACGAGATTTCTTGAAAACTTGAATGCTCGACCCTTTCTAAAAATACTAACGACGACGACAATGGAAGAATAGAAGACAACTGACAAATGAGGTCGGTGAGACAAGCACAATGATGCCATCGGTGAGAGTCATAACAACCTGAGTGCCAACGAATCAAAGAAAACCAAAATCGGCCAATGGAGAGAGAGTTTGATGGGGTTTTTTTTTCAAATGGGAAAAGTTAGAAACTGCAACGGAGAGGGTAAGCCTTCATAACCCTAGATTTATGGGTAATTTACGTTATAAGTTCTTACAATTTTGAGAGTTTCTAAATCAACATTAAAGTTTTAAAAATACCTCAATTTAGTCCCCGAAACTTTGGAATGTGACCGTCAAAATAACTATTTAGTCAAAACCTAGAGATGTTTTCTTAGCATTATGTCAATATATTATTCAATTAAAATATTATTAATATATCATTGAATTAAAATATGATTATAAATAAGCCACTTTATTGTCAAAATTGAAATGAACAATTAATGTAATTTGGTATAATAAATTTTTTAGTCTCAAAATTTACGTATTATATGAATTATAACCTAATTCAAAACAAATCAATAAATTTAATATTTTATATTAAAAATATTTATCAATTTGATCTATTTTTGTAATATTGTCAAATGAGTCCATCAAATCAAAGCAACGGTTAAATAATTATATTTTATCATAAAACAATAATAAATTATTATTAAATTGTTCTTATATCATAATCATAATTAAAAATAATTTATCATTTTTTGAAGAAGAACAAGTAACTTGATAGAAGAAAAAAATAAAAATGAAGAAATTATTAAATATGGAATATTAAATTATTTCAAATTATGACAAAATTAATAAATTGTATAATTTTTAATAATTAGAATTATTATATCATATTAAATCATTATTTTGTTTAATATTTAACGTAGAAATGACATATATTAAAATTTTAATTAAATAATTTATTCATATATTAAAAATACACGTTTATTAGCAAATCTATAATTAGTTTACCTATATTGTTTAAAAAAATTATAAACGAATTTTTTTATTAATATGAGACGAATACAATATAATATTTATTTAAAGACTCTTAATCATTTAACATTGAACATTTATATCTATGCAAATATGGTGCTCAAATCCACGACCTCAATGAATAATAATAATTTACCGATCGTCAAGGTCACTTGATTTGTACTTATAAACGACACACTTTTATATACAAACTTCATCGACAGGCGTATACAACGTCGATAGACTAAATTTTTTAAAATAAATGTTATCTTATAATCGCTCAGATTATTAATCTATACATAATTAACTAATTTATTTATAATTTTTAAAAAAAAAATATATCTATTATTTAACTTAGAATTAATTAAATAATCGTGGGTGATGTTTAAAAGAAATTATAAATAAGACACACATGTGCAAAACAAACTTCCTACTTGGACTAGCCTAAGCCTATTTCCGTCGACTCTTTTTCTTGATTTTGCAGAGTGACAATGGCGTTGCAGTATGGGATAGCGGAGTTTTACGACCAGTCGTCGGGGCTTTGGGAAGTCATTTGGGGCCACCATATGCACCATGGCTTTTACGATCCGTCCTCCAATGTTTCCGCCTCCGATCATCGAGCTGCCCAGATCCGAATGATCGAAGAGTCGCTCCGTTTCGCTGGGATTACCGGTTCGTATTTTCTATCCATTTCTGTGAAATATACTCTTCGAAACCATTAATCTGATGAACACGAAAATAAATCACTGCACATCATCTGGATTCAATGGCTGAAACCACACCATGTTTCTTCTATTTTGTCTATTGCGTTCATCTTTGTGTTTGGTTATTTACTGTTTGGCATGATTGCCCACTTTTCTGTTTTAAAATATTCAACGTCTGAACATCAAAGGAAAACTAAATTTCTAATGTTTCCTATCATTTTTAAACTAATCATCAATCTTCTAAGCTTCGTATGCATCTAAACCCCATAATTTCTGAATCCCATAACAAAACCGATGAACCGACTTATTCTTCTAGTATTTGATATAACCCTTAACAAAAACATTCATATCTGTGATTAACAGTTTAATATTATTTGTTTAATATCCATATTAATAAAATGTAAACAAAAACATGTGTCTCAGCCGCACCGTAATCATCCCTATTTGGTAAACTTGTCGTGCTTTAAGTTGTGTAAGAAAAACAATGCTTTTATAAGAATATTCAACTCTCAAAATCATTAATATTTCCTGAAAAATAAAAATATTTTAAATATATTAATAACCTGTTGGTCTAAAAATATAAGATTTTAAATTTTTTAAGTGAAATTAAGATTTGAATCTAAATATTATAAATGAATGAATGCCAACAGATCAAATAAGAAAACATTTTAAAACTTAAATTACTTGCTTTACTGTTTTATTCAAATATACTTTTACTATTTGTAGAAAGATTAAATAATTTATAAATAATATTAATTTGCTCCTATACAGGTTAACTTAATCTAATTGGATAGCTTGTATTTAATAATAGAAAATGATATAGGAAGTTGAAATTAAAGGATATAGTTATGGGGAAGTGGAAGGAGGAAGTGGAAAATATAACTTGTTGTTGTAAAATTAAATAATGAGAGTAATTAGTTTTAACTTAAAATATTATCAATAGTATAATTTTTTAAGTTGAATAAGATAATATTTTAGGTTGAAATTAAAATGACAATATAATGGAAAATATAATTAATCATCGTACAACAAAACCAGCTAAGAGGGGTGGAGGAGACGACGATACATCCTAGGCGGAGAGTACCAAACCAAAATAGACAAGAGTTGTGAAGGTGGTCCATTCTCAATAGGAAATAGGAAATTACAGAAAATTATTGTCACATTTATATATTAGAAAAAAGGACATTGAATTTGAAAAACTACCTAGTTTCAGCATAGGGGTTGAGCGATTGAGTCGAGTAAAAAAATTGAGTTATTTAACTTAATGAGTCCTATTTTATAACTTCAAGTTGATTTCAAATTTTTTTGAGTCGAGTCGAGTTTATAAAATTCAAGTCGAGTCAAATTTTTGAGTTTATTTTTAAATTTAATAATAACTATTTTTATATTATGATATTATTTGATTTCAATTTAAATGACTTTTATAACCATATACAATACATATATATTTCTTCATATTTTTTTCATATGTAATACACATATATCATAAAAATTTGAGGGACTCGACTCAAACTTAAAAATTAATCCACTAATTACTAAAAATTTTGAATTATTTGAGTTGTATTTTCTAACTTGATTTGAACTTGAAATTTTTTCGAGTCGAGTCAAGTCAAAAAATTGATTTTTCAAGTCAATTTGAATTTTGTTCACCTCAATTTCAACAAGTCTTATGATAAAAATATAATTTTTAAATATATTCTTACGAATAAAATTAAAAGATGCCATCCACTTTCACAATTTAACAACCACCCTGTCCCTCTCTTCAGGATCTATCCGAAGAGTCTTTGCAGCCATGGGAGAAAAAGCTGCTAAACAGGATATGCAATGCTTATTATTTACCCGAGTGGTGTTCTACTTCTGATTATGTCAAACTCCTTCAGTCCCTCTCCCTCCTGGTAAATTTATTTCCTCGAATTGGCTAAAACCCTTTCGGTCATTCGACAGTTCTGTTCAATTTCACATGCTTCACTCGCAGGATGTAAAGGCTGCTGATTGGTCCGAGCACGTTGTCCCGTTCTGGCCAGTGGTGATACGGTCGGCATTTACGTGGAAGGGTTTCGTATCACTGCTACGTAGCGGTAACTATGTTTAACATTCGATATCTTGTTAAACAAGTTGATATGAGCATAGCTTGATGTTGGTCTTAATGTGGATTGATGTTGTTAGGATTAAATACCATCAAAGGTGCATTGGTGATGCCATTGATGATCCAAGCGTACCAGAAGAGTGTGATCAAGTTCGCCATCATTACCTGCCGGAAACCCGAGTAAATTGCTACGGCGACCGAATGTTTCAAGTGTGTTGTCTGTTGTTGTAATACCCCAAAAATTTAGATAGTGACCAAAATAAAAAATTTGAAAGTTTATTGGTCAAAGTAGAAAATTGGGAAAAGTTTAAGGACCTAAGTAGTAATTTTCTCAAAAAGAATTTTATTCCATAAATAGATTTAATGAGCTGTTAAATTATAATTTTTAAAGTTTGGTGACCAAAGTATAAACTTTGTAAAAGTTTAGGGACCAAAATTATAATTTTAAAAAGTTACAAATTGGCCTTGTAAAAAATAGTTTATCTCAAGAATAACATTTCTATGGGAATCAGAATGTTCATACGAGTTTTGTAATAAAAGTTATAAAGCAAAGGAAGTTGGGGAAAAATTCGATAAATCAGATCGAATAGAAAATTCAAGAAAATCTAAAGGATGATAAATTAGACCGAAAATTTATTTTCACATTTTTAAATGTTGGAAAATAATATAAATCTTGAGATTTAAGGGTTTAATTTGGACTGTTGGATTAAACTGGCAAGAATGTGATTTTTGGAAAAAGACAAGGGCAAATCGGTAAATTAAGATATTATTTGTTCATCTTTAACTTATGGGAGATGATAAGGTTGAGTTATCTTGAGTTAATGGTGATTATGAAGTTTTATTAAGGGTAAATTGGTAATTTCCTAATTTAACGAATTTAATATTCATTAAAGGTAAATTAAAGGTAGATAAGCATGAAAATAATCTAAAGTTTCATGCCAAAAGTGTTCATCATCTTCTCCATTGCCGTGAGTTTCCTAAGGTAAGGGAAAAATATTTGCTTTCCATTTTTAAGCCATTTTCTATGGATTTCAAGTTATGCCGTGAAATATGAAAGTGATCTAGTCGAGAAACGCTATCTTTTGGTACCAATTATGCTTGCTCAAGTTGCTTGATTTTAAGATCCCAAATCTTATGGTTTATGTTCATGCTAGAGTTCATGAAATTGATGATGAATATTGATGTTTTTGAGGTTATAGATTCATTTTCAAGCTTTATTTATGATTAAAACATGTTTAAACTCCTAGAAATGATTCTATAATTTTCGGTCAAATGAAGAAATTATAGAACTTTGTATTATGATGAGAGTTGATTAAGGTTTTGATTTTAGAGATGTTGTAAGGTTGATTGGAAGTTGATTTCATGCTTGAATCGAATCAAAAGCAAGAAAAATCATGAAAACTTAGTTTCTATGTTTAAAGCCTTCGACCATGGGTTAGTTGAGTGAAAAAGATTATGGAAAAATTATATACGGGCTGGAAATGATGTATGAGGTATTCTACAAACCTTAGAAAAATTTAGGGATCATTCTATAATTTTTGAAAAATTAGGGATCAATTTCAAAATTTTGGAAAAGTTGTTAATGGTTGTATAATTGCCAAATAGTTGATGTACTATGCTGGAAATTATTATTTTGGAATTTAAATGTGTTTAGATGTGAAATATGACTATTTTTTAAGTTTGAAAAGATTGGTAATTTAAGTATAACATTTGCATAGTTGGGGGTGTTTAAATGTAATTATGCCTTGTAAAAGCACTTGAATAGTAATAAGTTCAGTGATAGAATTTTTGGTATTAAAAATTTAAGTGATAAAATGGTGAATGACCATTTTGTGAAAATTAAAAAAGTTGGTGTCAATGTTAAAAGGGTTTTAGGTGTTACATTTATTGGTATCAAAGCTTTTGGTTTAGTCGTTTCTGGACATGGAAAGAGTTTATATTAAGTCAATAATGTATACATGCCACTAAGATGTCAAAAGTTTACTGATAGTTGTATATATATATATATATATATATATATATTGTGATGATGCTTATTGGGAGTAAAGTTACTCTTTACTATTGTAAGATGATTTTGACTATGTTCAGATGTCGGAAACTAAAGAAAAGAAGGTCGAGATGGAAATCGACCCAAAAGAATCCGACATGACTTCAGTATCACGTACTAGAAGAGTTGAAGCTGTTAGGGATTTTCCTCCATTCTGTGGAAGAAATGCCTCAGCTTTCAACGAAGTTTCTGCATTTGAGGAATCCATTAAAAAGTTTGAACGACTTACAAGAGAAGTCGAATCGGATGAGGATCCAAAGGAGATTTCTGAATCTAGTGATGACTCTGAGGTTCCTTCAGGTAAGCTTAAATAAGTGAGAAATATTTAAGTTAAGCATTAAATTGTTTAAAGCATTTTTTATTTGAGTAAGAGGAAATAAGTAAGCGGTAAATACGTTGTTCGCTAAAAGTTTAAGGAAAGTTAAATTATTAGTGAATCAAATAATTATGAGTTTGATTGAGAATTTATATTAAGTTTTATGGACTTGATAGAGTTACCTTGCGAAAGTAAATTTGCAAAAATGGATTGTCTACCCATTCCATGCTACAATAAATTATTGTTTAGATTGAGATTGATTCTTAAGAACTTGAAAAGTTTCAAGTTTGTAGTGAGAGGAAAAAGAGTAAATTTGTTTGATAGTGTGATTTTAGCATTAACTGATATGAAGTTATTGTTACAAATTGTCTTCTTATTGAACGACGTGGACATTTAAACTTTCATTTGAGATGGAAAATGTTTCCACTGCTCGAGAATAAATTCTATGGGTATGGAAAAGTTATACAAATTATCTTAAGAATGAATTAAGGAATTCTAAAGTTGAGATATTCAATTCGACTGGATAACAAGTGTTATTATGGCAGAAGACCTATGGGTCATTATGCATGTGTTAGTCGAACATATATTAAATATTCGATAAAGGTTCAGGAGCTTATGTTCCTAATGAATCCGATGTAATTATCATTTAACGAGTTTTAGATAATTTTGAGTAAGGTTTGGTTATCTTTGCACTAAGGTGGTGTTGATGGTCGCAAGAAGCGATTAATTTATAAAGATGTGGATAAATTGGAAATTTTAGTGATTGATGAAAAGCAAAATCATCACTAATTTGATATCAGCAATGAGTATGATTAAAATGATGTAAAAAGGATGCATAGCTTTTCTAGCTAAGGTAGTAGATGCTTAAGTATCTGAAGTAAGATCATATGATATTCCCACAACGCATGAATTTTCAGATGTCTTTTTAGATTAATTATTTGCGTTACCTCCAGATCGAGAGGTGAAATTCAAGATATTATGGTTCTCAAGGCTTTGATTTTGTTTATATGGTTTAATATCAAATGGATGAAATTGAGTTAAGAGAATAAAGGTTCAATAGCAAGAGCTGCTAGATCGAGGATTTGATGAACTGAGTATTTCAACTTTACTTGGATTAGTTGTGGTTGTATTTATTGATGATATTTTGGTATACACGAAGACAAAGATAGAGCATGATGTTTATCTTCGTATTGTGCTCGAGATATTTAAGAGAAAAAGTTATATGCCAAACTATCAAGGTGTGAGTTTTGACTGTCAGAAGTTGCTTTTCTTGGTCATGTTGTCTCAGCAGAATGCATAAGAGTTGATCCTAAGAAGGTCAAGCAATAGTGGAGTGGAAACCTCCAAAGAATATTATAGAGGTTCGAAGTTTCTTGGACTTGCTGGTTATTATCGAAAGTTTGTGAAAAACTTTTCGATGATTGCTTCTCCTTTAACCAAGCTCTTGAGAAAGGATGTTTCATTTGCTTGGACTGAGAAATGTCAAGAGAGTTTTTGAAGATTTAAAGAAGATTTTAATGGAAACACCAGTACTGGTACAACTAAAATCTGACAAAGAGTATGTGGTGTATAATGATGTATCTCATAATGGTATGGGTTGTGTACTTATGAAAGAAGGTAAAGTGGTCGCCTATGCTATCGGATAATTAAAGAAACACGAGAGAAATTATCCCACTCATGATCTTGAGTTAGCGGCGGTTGTTTTTACTTTAAAGAATTGGTGTCATTATTTGTATGATGAGCAATGTCATATCTCCTCGGATCATAAGAGTTTGAAGTACCTGTTGACTCAAAAAGAGCTAAAACTTGAGACAAAGGAGAGTGATATAACTCTTAAAGGACTATGATTTGATCATTAATTATCATTCAGGGAAGGCAAATATTGTTGCATATGCACTTAGTCGGGAAACTTTTGCAACTTTGTGAGCTATGGATGTGCGACTGTTGTTGAAAGAAAATGGTGCACCGTTGGCTGAATTAAAGATAAAGATGATGCTTCAAGATCGGATAATAGAGCTACAAAGGAAAGAGGGCAGATGCTTGGAAAAGATTTCACTGGTGGAAAAAGGTGAGTCTAAAGACTTTGAAGTCAAGTCTGATGGTTGTCTGTATTTCTTAGGAAGAATTTGTATTCCACATGATGATGAGATGAATAAAGATATTAGTTCTGAGGAATATTTTAGTTCGCTGACTATGTATCCAAGCACGAGTAAGATGTATCAGGATGTTAAGAGTCAATTTTGGTGGCCAAGTATGAAAAGAGCCATTTCTGAGTTTGTTACTACATGTCTGACATATCAACAAGTGAAAACGAAGCATCAAGTCCCTTCGGGATTGTTGCAACCGATTTTTTATTCTAGAGTGGAAGTGGGAGAGAGTCACTATGAATTTTGTTACAGGGCTACCTTTGACATCAAATAAGATGGATTCCATTTGGGTGATAGTTGACTGGTTAACGAAATCGACACATTTCATTCCAGTGCGAATCGATTACGCCTTGGATAAATATGTAGAGTTGTATATCAAGGAGATAGTTCGAGTACATGGAGTACCAGTATCAATCATATCCGACAGAGATCCAAGGTTTACTTCAAGATTTTAGAATTCTTTGCATAAAGTTTTTGGGTACTCGATTGAATTTCAGTACGACCTTTCATCCACAGATGGATAGTCAATCAGAGTGTACTATTCATATATTAGAACATATGCTGAGGGCATGTGTGGTTGGGTTCAAGGGATCATGGGAATAGTATTTTCCTTTAGCAGAATTTGCCTACAACAATATCTATCAATCGAGCATCAAGATGGCTCCGTATGAAGCTCTATATGGGAGAAAATGCCGAACATCATTAAATTGGTTCAAGTTAAAAGATCGGAATCTTGCTGGCCCAGATTTATTGAAAGAGGTTGAGGATAAAGTAAAGATAATTCAAGATAATCTCAAGATGTCATCTGATCGGCAGAAGTCTTATGTAGACTTGAAGCGAAAAGAGATTGAATTTCATGAAGGAGATAAAGTTTTTCTTAAAGTATCAACTTGGAAAAAGATTTTTGCGTTTTTGGTGCAAAGGAAAGCTAAGTCCAAGATTCATTGGACCTTATGAGATCTTAAAAAGAGTTGGACCGATGGCTTATCAGTTAGCATTACCTCCGGAGTTGGAAAAAAATACACAATGTTTTCATGTGTTGATGCTTAGAAAGTATCGATTGGATCCTTCACATGTCATTTCATCGGAGGAAATTGAGATCCGACTAGATTTGATTTATGAATAAGAACCAATACATATTTTGGCTTGAGAAATCAAATAATTGTGTAGCAAGACGACTCCTCTAGTTAAAGTGCTTTGGCAAAAGCATAAAGTCTTAAAATTCGAGGACGAATTTTATTTAAGGGGGAGATTTGTAAAACCCCAAAAATTTAGATAGTGACCAAAATGAAAATTTTGAAAATTTGTTGGTCAAAGAAGAAAATTAGGAAAAGTTTAAGGACCTAAGTGGTAATTTTCCTCAAAAAGAATTTTATTCCATAAATGGCTTTAGTGAGTGGCCAAATTACAAATTTTTAAAGTTTGATGACCAAAGTATACACTTTAGAAATGTTTAGGGACTAAAATGGTAATTTTAAAAAAGTTACAAATTGGCCCTGTAAATAAATAATTTATCTCAAGAATAACGTTTCTGTGGAATCAAAATGTTAATACGAGTTTTGTAATAAAAGTTATAAAGCAAGGAAGTTGAGGAAAAATTCGATAAATCAGATAGAATAGAGGAAAATCTAGAGGATGATAAGTTAGACAGAAAATATTATTTTTCACATTTTTAAATGTTGGAAAATAATATAAATCTTGAGATTTAAGGGTTTAATTCCATGTTTAATTTGGACCGTTATATTAAAGTGTAAGATTATGATTTTTGGAAGAAAAAAACAAGGGCAAATCTGTAAACTAAGATCTTATTTGTTCATCTTTGACTTATGGGAGATGATAAGGTTGAGGTGTCTTATTTTGGAAGATGATAAGGTTGAGGTGTCTTGGGTTAATGGTGATTATGAAATTTGATTAAGGGTAAATTGGTAATTTCCTAATTTAATGAATTTAATATTCATTAAAGGTAAATTAAAGGTAGATAAGCATGAAAAAAATCTAAATTTTCATGAGAAAAGTGTTCATCATCTTCTCCATTGCCGTGAGTTTCCTAAGGTAAGGGAAAATATTTGTTTTCCATTTTTAAGCTATTTTCTATGGATTTCAAGTTATGCATGAAATAGGAAAGTGATCTAGTCGAGAAACTATATCTTTTGGTACCAATTATGCTTGCTCAACTTGCTTGATTTTAAAGATCCCAAATCTTAGGGTTTATGAATTGATGATGAATATTGATGTTTTTGAGGTTATAGATTCATTTTCAAACTTGATTTATGATTAAAACATGTTCAAACTTCCTAGAAATGATTCTATAATTTTCGGTCAAATGAAGAAATTATAGAACTTTGTGTTATGATGAGAGTTGATTAAGGTTTTTGATTTTAGAGATGTTGTAAGGTTGATTGGAAGTTGATTTCATGCTTGAATCGAATCAAAATCAAGAAAAATCATGAAAACTTAGTTTCTATCTTTAAAGCATTCGACCATGGGTTGGTTGAGTGAAAAAATATTATGGAAAAATTATATAAGGGTTGGAAATGATGTAGGAGGTATTCTACAAGCCTTAGAAAAAATTGGGGACCATTCTATAAATTTTTAAAAGTTGGGGGACCATTTTATAATTTTTTTAAAGTTGGGGGACCAATTCAACAATTTTGGAAAAGTTATGAATGGTTGTATAATTGCCTAATAGTTGATGTACTATGCTGGAAATTACTGTTTTGGAATTTAAATGAGTATTTAGATGTAAAAATATGACTATTTTAGAAGTTTGAAAATATTGGTGATTTAAGTGCAACAATCGTATAGTTAGGGGTGCTTAAATGTAATTATGCCTTGTAAAAGAACTTGAATAGTAATAAGTTCAGTGCTGGAATTTTTTGTATTAAAAAATTTAAGTGATAAAATGGTGAAGGATCAATTTGTGAAAATTGGAAAAGTTGGTGCCAATATTAATAGGAATTATTAAGTGTTAAGTATTTTTTTTGTAGAAAATGAGTTTCAAGTATATTATGGATTTTGTTTTGGGGATGTGTTTATGTTAGTACAATACTAACATATGTATTGTTATGAATTTGTGATTTGTACAAATCGTGATTGATTTGTGATTTGTACAGATCGTGATTGATTTGTGATCGAGGCAAGTCAAATATAAAGGGTTTATTTTGATTATAGTGAGGCACATCTTTTGGGTATATAAAGTGTCAAGATGAGTGCAATACATGCATGAAATTGTTCATAGACGTTTCATAAATCATCTGGAAGACTTGTGAAAAGTCGACCTTATTTATATCAGCATGATATTATGTCATTTTTATAACTTCGATATGACGTTGATATGTCACAGTGTGAAATGATAATGCATTGATCATGGATAATGTGATATTTTACCATGGATGTTATTTTGGGTATGAACTGCCTTAATGTTAGATATATGGCTATATGATACCATGGATGAATGAATTAGACTATATGCCTAAGTAAGTCGTTAAAGGACAGGGTATAGTTGGCATGCCTTAGAGTATAGCGGCTGCAGGTTTATATTAGCATTATAGTGTGTAAGGACACTAAGGGGCTGTTTATTTGGCTCTGAATGGAATCATTCAGCGCTGAATGCTGAACCGTTCAGCATTCATCGCGTTTGTTTTGCACCTCTGAATGATTCAGTGCTGATTGATTCAGCAAAACAATGTTGAATGATTCAGCATCAAAGTACATTTTGAATGATTCAGAGTCATTATCAAACATCATGTCACATTCAGAGATAATTCATACAGAGCCTCTGAATCATTCAACATTTGAATCATTCAGCGCTTAATCATTCTAAAATAAACAAACAACCCCTAAGTGTCTATGGTGGGCACGACCTTATGTGTAGCACTACGTTGTAGATATTACTCGAATACCTAGGGTTTTCATAGGTTTACTTGTGGGTTATAACTATTGGTAAAAATGATGATATTTATATTATATTATTTTGATTATGGTAAAACATTGGTCATGCAGGTAATGTGATCATATAGTATTTGAAAATGACATTAAATTTCATGCATGAGTTGTATTGTATTGTTTATTGTTTTTAATTGACTCACTAAGTATATACTTAGCGTGTGATGATTTGCACGCATAGGTAAAAAACCAAGAGTAGAGTAAAGAGTACAGAGCACTCCAAGCATAAAGGAATATACTACAATATCAATAAGACATCCTATGATGTAATTTTGACTTACTTAGTGGCATGTACTTATCAATGTCCTAGTTGCTCTGTTGAACTATTTTAAAACTAGTTTGTAATGGATAAACTAAATTATTTTAGGCTATTTTAAATATGGGTAATACGAAACATTATTATTATTTTGAGTATATGTAATTAATATACATATATATGTTTTAAATGTCATATGATAGTTTTACTTGAGATAATATTTTTATATTATCAATTACCAATTTGAGAAAAGAATTTTGTAAATCACTTTTTGGAATTGTGAAAATGTTTTTAGAAAATCATGTGACATCTATAATCTGTATAGATATATTATACGAGTTTTAGGTGTTACTGTTGTACTCAGTATAGGTATACGGTGGAGGAGGATGCTACACAACCTGAAACATCCATTATCTCAAGCTTTCATGATTCAGCTTCAAAGTCTTTATTGTTCATATTACAAGTGTAAAAAAAAACTGAAGCCGTATCTCTATAATCTTTATAATGTTTGATTAAATTGCTAATCGAAATGGATTTAAAATAGATCTCAAAATTTATGGTTAAGTTATAATTTCATTGACGTATTATAATGTAATGCAAGTGAATAATAACCATGATAACTACGTTATCCCTACGGATGGAATTGAGTGTATACTTGGAGGTTACTCTTCTCTAGGTTTTTGGGGTCTAACTACTTTTCAAGTTTATCTTAATTTTGAAAATTTAAAAAAAATGAATTTTAAATTTTTTTATTAATATAGAATGATTATAAGATAATATATGTTTAAAATACTCTTAACATTTGACAAATAACATTAAATGTTCAAATATTTCTGTAAATATTATGTTCAAATCCGCGTGACCTTTAAAAAAAACAATAATTCCATTAACGATTAATATAGCTTGATTTATACTTTTAAATTTTAAATTTATTTTTAATTAATCATCAAACCAGTCACGTTATGTCATCGCTAAAATTTATTATAGGTGAACCAAAAAAATAAAATATAATTTATTAGTCATTTTGCAGCTTTTTAGATTTAAGTGACAAAATTAAAAAGTTTATAATTAAACAATCAACTTGCAATTTTAATTTTATTTTTAACTAATCATCAAACCAGTCACGTTATGTCATCGCTAAAATTTATTATAGGTGACACAAAAAAATAAAATATAATTTATTATTTTTTTGCAGCTTTTTAGATTTAAGTGACCAAATTAAAAAATAAAACATAATTTATTAGTCATTTTTTAGGCTTATTCCTTTGTTCAGTACTCAGGTGTTGAAGAATTTAATAAATATAGTTGGCCCTTCAAGAGCTACCCTATACCTATTCAGCAACTCACTTTCCCTTTTATTATAAAAGCTCTACAAGACGTTAGTTGGCTCCCAACTTCGACAACTTTTCTTTTATATTTTAATTTTAAGCGTAAACTATACATTAGTATCTTAATTATCTTTTCTATTTCATTTTGGTCACTCAACTATTTATTTCAAAACCATACTTAATATTTTGTTTTCGTTTCATTTTGATCACTTACTATTAAAAAAGTAACAAAACTATTAACGTGATATTTTTAAAAAAAAATCAATGATGACATGTCATTATCTTATAGTGACATCAACATTACCTTTAATTTTTTAACAATAGATGTCAAAATAAAACTAAAATGTAACCTTAAGTATAATTTTGAAACAAAAAATAATTGAGTGATGAAAATGAGATAAAAGTGATAATTAAGACACTAAACTTGTTGTTTACCCTAATTTTAATTTTCTTTTTGGAATCAGATTTTTTTGTTAATCTGAGATAAATAAAATATAGTATCTATTCAAAGATAACTCTCAATTACTTGACATTTATCGTTCACATTTCTTTTATTTTTTGTGCTCATACCTAGGCCTGTAAATGAACTAAACGTTTAGCAAACCGTTCATGAACCGTGCGGCGGGAAGTTCGTTTATTTATTAAATAAACGAACATGAACAAGATTTTGTGTTCGTTTAATTAAATGGACGAACATGAACAAAGGGCTCGTTCGTTCATTTACGTTCGTGAACGTTCAATTATATGTTCGTTTATGTTCGTTCATTTATGTTCATTTATGTTCGTTCATTTATGTTCGAACAGAGGGCAAGTTGAATATGTTACGAAGATTATTGAAGTTGTTTGGATTTCAAGAAGATTGTTTTGTTGAACAAATTAACATTAAGACTTTATTATGTTCATATAGCTTATTTATGATTTATGTATGTTTTTGTCGTATTTGAACAAATTAACTCTAAAGTTGCAGGTTATATTAATGAATTTTAAGTTGTTATTCTTGTTGTTTATTTTTACATTCGTTTGTTGTGTTCGAATAAGTTTTTTTGTGTTTGTGTTGTTCGTTTATGTTCGTTTATTGTGTTCGTTCGTGTTCGTTTATGTAACATCCCGAAATCCGGGTCATTGACTAAAATGAGAATTTTTTAAACTTGGTGATAAAAGTAGAATAGTTAAATAGTTTAATGACTTATTGGAAATATAGTTGAATGTTGTTTAGTAATTATTGAATGAATTAAAGGGTAAAATGGTCAATTGACAAGTAAGATTTTTTATTTTCCTTTATAAGATAAGGGAACCACATGGAAAGAGAGAGATTTCTCCAGAGTTCTCTGCTTCTCTTTTTTTTCTTCTTCACGTGGAAGCCAAGAGCAAAGGTTAGTTCTGGTTAATTGATTTCTTATTGAATTTTAAGTTTGGTTTCGATTATCAAGTGACTTTTAAGCTTAAGGAAAGCTTAATTTTTCATAAAACAATAAGAGGAAAAGTATAGAAAGGATTAAAAGAAGGAACGGAATAAAAGAAATCTTGGTAGAAAGATATTTATGGGATTTCCAGACCAAATTTGGGTCTAATTAAGAAGTTAGAAACAATATAATTGAATTTGTAACATGTTGAAAATTTAGTGTAATTCTTGAATTACATATGGAGAATAGGATTTTGATGTTAAAGAGGTGATAAATGAATAGAAATGAGTTTGAATATGGTATGCGAGTTAAGAATATAAAAGGGGATGAAATATGAAGAGTTGGGATAAAATGAAAGTGGATTTCGTGCTCTAACTGGAATTTCTGGGTAGTGTGCATCGATGCAGATTAATTGTGTACCGATGCACTCTCAATTAAATGAACATCGAATGTAGTGAGTGCATCGATGCATAGGGAGTGCATCGATACACCCCTTAAAATAGAAACATCGAATGTAAATTGTGTATCGATGCATGGGGTAGTGCATCGATGCACATGTTAGGGATGCATCGATACACTGTAGAATGTACCGATGCACTTCAATGGGAAATGGAATAAATCTTTCTTTCACTCTAAGAAATGATAGATTAAAGTATATCAATTGGATAATGATAAGTATCAATACACGATGATGTAGATATCGAGCACGAACAAGTTCCAGGACGACTATCAAGTTAAGATTCGATCGAAAGAAAGGAAATCATAAAAGGGGATTGGAACTTAGTGAGGCCAAGGTGAGCGCATATTATTAGAATATACGTATTGTATATGGAAATTAGACTTGCGACAAGTCTGTTTCCAATATTTTGAATATATGATTGTATGATTAGAAGTATGATTATGTTTGATATTACGTGAATATGTTTAGTTCATATTACATGTTATGTGGTATGAATTTATATGATATGTGTTATATGGCAATGATTTATGTATTATAGGAAAATGTTATATGAACTATATGAACTTGAGATATAAATTATAGGATCACGAACTATGTAAAATACCAATGATTCATGTGATAACAAAAAGAAAGTGACTATATAAACAAGTAAGATAAATTATATGGGAAAGATTTATAGGCTTAAATGAATTTATAATAAATAAGATATATAGTAAAAATCTATGAAGCCATAGAGAGATATTATAGGAGCTTTTGATGATAATTTATTAGAAGACTTGTATATGTGATAAGCTATGTGAAACTGAATTAGGTAAATATATGAAATTAGTAAATAAATGATGGGAGATAAGTAATTATGTAAAACATGGAGTTATGATATATATATATATAGACTATATGAAAATGTGTACATGAATACATGCATAAGTGAGATATGTTTATAGGTTATAATATGTTATAGAATTTATGTGAATATAAAAGTATAAACCATAAGTTATATGATATGAGATAAGTTATTATATGTACATGTGAATTATATGGAAATAAACTATGTGATTAAGTGTGATCTTATGAAATGTTATAATGAGCTATGTGATATATGACATGAGATATATGAAAGAGAAAGTATATGTGATAAGTGAAAGTGAATCATGTGATTACATGAAGATGTGAAACGATATAAAGATAATGCCCATGTTATATGTTATGAGATCTAGAGATATAGTTGGAATGCTAAGAGTCGAGGGTCTACACGGTCCTTCGGGACATAGTGGTCCTCCGAGACATAGTGGTCCTCCGGGACATAGCGGTCCTTCGGAACATTTCATAGTGGTCATTTGGGACAAATTTGATATCCCCTAGTGGGACCCCATATGAGCTGTGGTGACAGCATAGTGCACAACCTCAATAGACTCACATATCTACAGTTCTCACAGATATGCATGGGCTAACAAAGAGATAACAATAAATAAATATATTACATGTAAAGTATATGCTTTTGTGATATGAATTGTATTATATGATATATGAGATGATGTGTATATTGCTTGATTAATTGAATCATATGTGGCTTAAAAGAATGGATATATGAGTATATGATTATTAGACATAAATGATAAGAATATGGATAATGGAATAAGGTTAGTAATGGATATAGTGTGAGATATGTATATTTGTATATTACATTGTATGTAATGTTAAATTGTCTTGGTATGACATCATGAGATGATGTATTCCTGCATGTTTAAATAATTAGAGTTCTTTTATAAACATAATGCCTCACTAAGTCATAGACTTAGCGTGTGATTGTTTCACAAGTAGGTTACAGAAGTGAGAAGAGTAAAGAGCAATGTGGAGCAAGACATGTCAATTCTCCTTACCGAAGGTCATATCAGAAGAAAGGTGAATAATATGGATGTTAATATATAAAGTTCTAGTTGACATGTATTCAAAATAATATATTGTATAAGCTCTGAATAGTTCTGTAAATGTTTTGAATAAGTTACATGTTATAAAATTTTAAATTACTCACTATTTTATACAAGTAGATGTTTTGAAAAGTCAATGTGACACCTCGGACTCCAATTTGGGTTGGATCCGGGTTGGGGATGTTTCATTTAATGGTATTAGAGCTAAGGTTTAGTTGATTCTAGGCTTAAAACGAAGTTAAATGAGATTTAAAATGTGTACATGCCAACACAACATTAATAATTTCTGATCTGATAAGTGTAAGGAGTATACTATCTTGCTAATAGAATAAGAATAGTATGATATAGT